ATTCTAACAAGAACCCTAAAAGCACAGTGAGCTGTGGCATGTGTGTAGAGACAAAACCTCAGATTGCCATATACCTACACGAGGGCCACTTGACTTTACACACATTTGAATGCACAATGAGTATCTTTTTTTTTAACCACGTTAGCATGAACAAGTCTAAAAATGAATCTCACTTCTGTTGAAATAGACCGGAAAATACTTAGAGAACCAAATACCATGCATTTATTAAAGGCTGCATCCTTGGGGGTTGTTGCTGGACTCAAGAGAGAAAGAATAATTTATTACATTTGAATAGTGTTTGACTAGTGATTATTATACCGCATCCAGAATGCCTGTGAGAGATAGCCTCTAGATTCCCTGAGCCAATCCTAAAATCATGTTTCAATTAGGGATTAGAGATAGAAACTGGGAGTCTGTCTTTTATCCAGTTTCCAGATGATGGCAGAGAAAATCTGGTACTGTAGAGCACATAGCAAAGCTTCTAGGATATTATCTATTGTCATATATGTGCCAATCATTAGTGAAGCCGAAATACAAAGACAGCTGGCTAAATAAAGACCCTCACCCATGCAAGCACTGAGCATCAATAGAAAGCTCTGGCTGTCAAATACACTGTTTGCATGCATCAACTCTCCTGGTCAGCACAGGGCCTCCAAATTTGATTACATTTAGGACAACTGAATCTAGTGCTTCTTAGTCTGATGAGGAAAAGAATACAAAATTAAGAAAAGGGAGTGGTTAAGAGGGATAGGTGAGATTGTTGAAAGGGATGATATTGATCATGATACATTGTATTCATAAGTTGCTTTGTTGAATGGCAACTCCTTTGTACAATTACTTGAAGGTGTGTGTGTGTGTGTGTGTGTGTGTGTGTGTGTGTGTGCGTGAAATATCACACTAAAGGTATGTGAATCTGAAACTAGAAGGGGACCCAGAGATCTGGGTACAGAAATGCCTATGTATCAGTCAGTATAGGGTAATTGCTGTAACAAATAACCACAAATGTTCTGGTGGTTCAGCCCTGAATGATTGTTTCATGTGTTTGAGAGGGGGCATCAATCTGCTTTGCATAGTCATTCAGAAGATCCAGCCTCTTTCTATCTAGTGATTCCTCCATCTAGCAGATCCTAGTAGTTCTACCATGGATCTGTTACCTGTAGCCAAATGGGAAGAATCTGTAAAGGATCCTGTGAACATTTGTGCACTTTAGCCAGGGAGTGGGCGGTTTTTTCCCACTTCATTCCATACCAGAACTCACTTATGTCATTGACATGGCATTTAGCCATGGGCCTTCAGGGAAAGGAAGCGGGGTTGGTGAAGCCATAGTTCTAGCTCTGCTTCAGATGGTTACAGAGTGTTCCGTAGAACCAATCAGGGTGAGTACACCTACTGCCTGAGGCAGACAAGAAGTAGGATAATTCATTTCATTAAGTATAAATGCTTCAGGAAGAGTGAGGGATGTGTGCTTTCCTCTGAGCCTTTTCCTCCAGGGCCAGGTTTAAAAGATGACAGTTTGAGCCAATGACTTGGTCAGTAAAATCTGAGGAAAAACCTTTTCTATTGTGCTAAAGAGGGAATCCAGTGGGAGAAAAGTTGGTATCCGAGTGACACCCATAAGGAAGGGTTATATACAATTTATGGAGTTCTAACCACTCCTCTCTCAGCCTTTTCTAGTCCTCATATTCACACTAGGAGATGTTTATCTAAAACTTGTGCAAACTTCCTTTGGACCCTAGATGACAGCAGCGCCAAATCTCACACCAAGAACTCTAGAGAGAATTTTAGGACTTTGAGTACTTACAAGGACAGACAGGCCTCTCATTACCATAAGAGAGGAATAGCCTCACACCATGACCAGATCTAACATTAGCCTATACCTAGGCTAAAGGAAAGGCAGAAATGGACTGTTGTCACAGCAAATAGGGCATGACATCCTTTCTCCTCTTCTTCCAAGAATGAGGTAGCATTCACTCGAAGTTCACTATGTGCCGGGCATTGTACTTGTACACATAATCATGCAACAACTCCGTGAAGTACATTATGTTATTATCTATATTTTATAGCTGATGGCTTTCATTCACCTCTAGAAAGGTTAAGTAACTTACCCAAGGTTACTCAGCTTGTAAGTATTCCAACACAGTTCTGACTTCAAGTTGTGTTTTAGATGACTCTGTTCTGCCATGGACGGTTTTTAAATGGAAAAGCAGTTAGTACAGTTAATACAGAAGTTAGTTAACAATAATAAACAAAACAATTTACAAACTATTGTGTGATAAACACAAACATTGTCTAATATTGGCTTCCTTCTATTTCTTACTTCATTATCTTTATAATTGCCAGAAGGCTACCTGCAGATATATTCACCTATTTACTTTCAGCTACCTTCTTTCTCAAACCTAATTTTTTCTAGGAGACTCCCAGGGTATCTACTCTCCCTTGTGATGAATAAAGTAATAAGCTTTTTATCCTGGCAGAAGAGAAGATGGAAGGAGAGATTCCCAAAGTTGCATACTGATACTTTTGTATCGCAATGCACTGGTAGCAATGTTTGACGGTAATTAGCCTTTAGAGTGTTGGGATATCATGCAAAGAAAAGCAGCCTGATTGCTCTGTAGGCTGGAAAAGCATAGACGAGAACAGGTCAGATGGAACACAGCAAATAGGTTGCGAATGTTTGTGTGCAAGATTTGATCTTGGTGATGAAGAGAGGGTTAAAAAAAACACAAGGTTATTCAGAGTCAAGTACCAAGCTGCTTTCAATGAGCTGCTCACAGACATCAGTAATGAACTCTTCAGATATTCTCCTCCAGACATCCCCAGTGTCCAGTTTATAACAAGACCGATAACTCACGTCTTGATCTTGGAAGCTACTTGCTCACTTCTCTTGACTTCAGGGCCAAAATGAGTGGTTTATTATTAATAGTCTGTTCCAAGAATGGCAACTTGTTTTAATAACTTGCATATAGTCAATGACTAAGTTTTTGAAGAGATTGAAGGAAATCAAACCAAACAAATTGAGCCAGGCTCAGTGGCTCAGGCCCGTAATCCTAGCTATTTGGGAAACAGAGATCAGGGAATTGCAATTGGAGGCCAGCCTCAACAAAAAGAAATTTGGAAAATTCCATCTCAACTAATGGCTGAGGGAAGTGGCTGATGCCTATTATCCCAGCTACGAGAGCATCACAGTGTCTGGGCACAGACCTACTCACCCACCCGTTATCCCCAGTAATGTGGGGAAACTCAAGTAGGAGGGTGGAAGCCCAAGCCAGCTGGAACATGAAAAGTGAGATCCTACCTCAGAAAGAAACAGCATTAAGAGGAGACCCCTGCTGTTGGTGGTTCATGTCTGTAATCCTAGCTACTCAAGAGGCTAAGATCTAAGGATCATGATTGGAAGCCATCCCAGCCAGAAAAGTCCAGAAGACTCTGATCTCTAATTAATCACCAAAAGACTGGGAGGAAAGGCATGGTTCAAGTGGTAGGTGCTACCTAGCCTTGAGCAAAAATGGTAAGGGGCAGTGCCTAGATCTTAAGTTCAAGCCTCACTACTGGCACAAAAAAGAAAAAAGAAGAAGAGAGCCAAGGCCCTAACTTCAACCAGTATTACATATATGTAGGTATGTATGTATATGTGTGTGTACAAACAGATGTATGTGCATCCCATTTAGAGGCTGTCCTAGTAACTTGAGAAAAAACAAGCATGAACTGGAGACTATCATTTTCCGTGACCTTTAGGCCAACTACGTTTTCTGAAACAAGATTTCATTCAATCAACAAACACTGGTTAACAGCTGGCTCTCTCGTTTTTTTTTGGAAACCTCTGGCAGATTGCTAGTGCTGGCATTGGGGCCCCCATCACCCTGCAATGTCCAGTTTCCATCCAGCAACGCGCTCATGCCGGACCACACTTCTCCCATGAAACCAGACAGACCCAGCTCACTTGGCAATGGCAAGGCTGAGGTCTGGAAAAGTCACATCCACGCCCATTGCCCGTACTGGTACTTGGGATCCAGTCCTGTAACAGAAAATCCAGAAGCCAAAACGTCTCATGGAAGGGGTTGCGGGCCAATCCTTAGACTTTGGGGCTTACTTGTGACAGGGCTGCTGGAGGCAGGAGGAGGCGCTGGGTCAGCAGTTTCGCTTGGTTCCAGGAAAAGACCCTGAATGCCAACAGTGGGATTCCAGAGGCTTCTGTGTCCTTCTAGACAGGAGACATCAGAGATCAGGGTCCGCGGTCCAAGGCAGGCGCAGGGACCCTCGGACGATGAGGAGTTCCCCCTGCCCCCTTGGCCACTTGCAAGTCTGAGCCAAGGCTGGGTGCTCTGACTTTCTTTTTTCTTTCTCAGTTCCACCCCCACACGCCGCTTCCCTGCTGGAGCCTGAGCTTTTGGAACACGGAAGGCAGGCGGGTGGAGTGTGTGGCTCTCAGTTACCACAAGCTGGGAGAAGCTGGGGAGGGAGGGGAGAGGGGTGCGGGGGCCTAGCGCAGCACCGCAGTGCACGAGCGCCACGCCCCCCCATCCCCACCACCACCCCCGGGGGGGGGTCTCATCACACCTACGCGAACCCCGAGGGCTGAGCGCCTCCCTCCTCCTCCTCCTCCCCCCCATCCACCCGCGTGCTGGGGGACTGGGAGGGGGCAGGGCGGGGTGGGGCGCACCGGAGACCCGCCCCCCACACCGATCCCGCCCACCCCCAGCGGAGATTGACAGACCCCGGACACCGCCCCAGCCAATGAGCGCGTGCCGGGGCGGGCCCTGGCCCCGGCGGCTCCGGCTACTTATCGAGTCCTCGGCGCGGTGGGGTAAAGCAGAGCGGAGCCAGGGAGCCAGGGAGCGCCCAGGTGGACCTGACGCCCCAGCCAGCGCCGAGGCGAGCGCA